GGGGCTTCCCTCCGACTCAACTACGACTTCGATTGCGACTGCGACCTGGCTCGACTCACCTCGGGTTGACGAGCTTGGCGCGCGAAGGAGGGTCTCGGGAGAGCCTCCGGGGATGGAAGAGCAAATCGAGTGAAAGATCGTCTGTCAGGAGCTTGGGGGGACGACGGGCCCAGAACTCCCCCTCACACGCGCCAGCAGGGTCGGCGGATTTTCCGAGCTCCGCGCGGGGTTCTCGCATCGGTGCCGAAGGAAGCAGAGGCCCCTCCCCCCCGAGGGGTCTCCGGCGCGGTCGGGGTCCTCCCCGCTCTGGGGGACTTCGGACGAGCAGGATTTCGGATCTCGAGGTTTGTGTGCGTCATTCGAATAAGAACAGGCTGCGAAAGCATAGAGTAAGGGATCGACAGCATAATTTCTCCAAATAGGCCTGCCCTATAGGAGTTCTAACACAAACCCTACTAATTGGTCCGTTGTCCCCCCCCTTATTCCTATGGTTATTCCAATGCCCCCCCCTTTTTCTAATGGACCCCCCTTTTTCCAATGGCGCTTGCTTGCTTGCTCTTGCGTGCTTGCTCTTGCGTGCTTGCTCTCGCTTGCTTGCTCTTGCTTGCCCTTGCTTGCTTGCGCTTGATCGCTGGCTCTTGCTTGCTTGTTATTGCTCGCTTGCGCTTGCTTGCTTCCGCTTGCTTGCTTGCGCTTGCTTGATTTTGTTCCTCCCGTCCTCCTCACGTCCTGCTCCCGTTCTCTCGTCCTCCTCCCATCCTCCTCTCGTCTTCCTCCTGTCCTCCTAGCTATTTGGAGTCCACGCTGGCTGATATGATTTACCCCTGAATCGTTTTTCAGTCGACTCCTCGAGAAACACGAAGAGTGTTCCGTAGATCTACGGAGCAGCCTGCGCGTTTCTTTGTAGTTTCGAGAGGAAAGCCACTTGCGGGATAGATTCGATTCTTTAGTCGATCCCCTTTATTCGAACGCATACATTTGCCCGAGCTCCGCGCGGGGTTCTCGCATCGGTGTCGCGCGAAAAGCAGAGCCCCCCCCCGATGACCGGTGGCGCGGTCGGGGCCCCCGCTCGGGAGGCTTCGGGCGAGCGGGATCTCGGATCCCGAGGTCTGCGGGCGCCACTCGAACACGAGCAGGCGGCGTAAGCATACATTCTCCGAGCTCCGCGCGGGGTTCTCGCCTCGGTGCCGCAGAAGTTACAGCCCCCCCCCCCCCGATGACCAGGGGCGCAGTCGGGGTCCTCCCTGTTCGGGGGACTTCGGAGAAGCGGGATTTCAAGCCTCTCGAGGTTTGTGGACGTCACTCGAATGAGAGCAGGCTGCGCAAGCACAGAGTAGGGGATCGACTGCAGAATTGATCTACCCCGAAATTGTTTTTTCCGTAGGCTCTTACGAGAAATACTTAGAGAGTTTGTCCTCCCCGTGCGAAGGGTTTCGGACGAACGGATTTCGAGGTTTGCCGGGTTTTCGAAAGTTCTTGGTGGCTTCGAAAGTTTCCGATCCCCGGGGCGGTTTCCATGATCCATGACTAGCTCCTCGGCGAGGTCGTTCCGGGGGTGCCAGAGCCGTCCCGAGCGGCCGCAGGAGGCCCGACTGTCCACGGTTTCCCTTCTCTCGGGATGCGTTCCAGCAGCTGCGCCACGCCAGGAAGGCAGCGGGTCCTGAGGGAAACTGGTCTTGGAAGTTTTTCGCCGTTTTCGAACTCCTGGGGGCTCTCCCTGGGCCCTAGGGCCGTCCAAAGCTATTCGTTCTGATTGATGGGGTCGGAGGCTCCCGGCGCACTGCCGATGCATCGGCGAAGCGGCTCGATGTGGATCGGCCCTCCCCAGGCCATGGGGCCGTCCAAAGCTACTCGGCCTGACAGTTGGATGGGGTCAGGAGGATCCCGGCGCACTGCCGGTGCATCGGCGAAGCGGCTCGATGTGGATCCCGATTTTCTCCGCGCCGACGGCGCCAAGCGCCGATGCATTGCCCACGTCCTCTATGCATCGCCGATGCGTCGGTGAGGCGGCGCGATCGCCCGACCCTATCTACCCGGACCCCACTTGGGAGGCTGCTACAAGGCTCCCCAGCGTCTACGCAGCGCTGCCCTGACGGAGGTGAGAACTGCATGGGGGGCCTGAGTTCTTTTGTGCCGATGCGCCGTCTAGGCGCCAGGCTTACTTGCTACAAGGGTGTCCGCAGTTCTGTCGGTTCGGCTGCGTCGCAGACGGTTGCGTTCGTTCGGTGATGGTTCGGTCGGCTGTTGCGCCGCTGCCGGGTAGCCGTGCCCCTCCCGGTTGCTTCCGGCAGACCCAGTTTCGGTTTCTTTGTCGTATCGGGCGGCTTTCAGTTGCGCCGTCGGCGCTGATTGTCTTTTGTCTTCACGACGAAGGAGGGACTTGGGGGGTAGTGTTGTAAGAAGGATCCGCGCTGCCCCCCAGGCCAGCCGGCCAGCCTCTAGAGCTCGTTCCTCATCATTGATGATGCCCCGATGCTACCAGCCCGACTCAGATCCTTGTGCTTATGATTGGCATCACCTCATCTCGATGCCAATCTTACGGATTCCCTCGGTTTCTGAGGGCGCATCCCTAAGATTGTCGTCGCCTTTTGGCCTCGAGGGATATGGCTTAGCTCGAGGCTGGTTACGATGTCCCTTGGGCCATCATCGTCGCCGCCGCCTCCGTCTTCAGACTGTCGTAGCCGTCTCTGGCTTGTCAATACTAGGGACAGGGATAAGCTCGAGGCTTGTTACGATGTCTCTGTCGGCGGTGGACAAACCTCCCTTTAGTAAACCACCCTGCAGTGAAAACGGCCTAGGACCGAAACCGACGGACAGGGACCCGCAAAAATGACGGCCGCGATGCCCTGTCGCGACCGAAAACGGCCAATTCGCTAATCGACATGTCAGGGTAGGAGGTCTATCAACCTCCGACTCTGGGGCCATCATCGTCGCCGTCGCCTTCGTCTTCCGCCTCGTCGAGCGGCCATCGCCATCGCGTGGGTCGCTCCCCTGGAGGCGGGCCGAATGACTCGTGCGAGGGGGGGGGGGGCAGCCCAGGGCGGGGTCGGTGTGCGGATCCCCGCAGAAGCCAGCAGATCCTTTACCGGCAGGCTCGCGCCGCGTTGGCGCGGCGGCGACCCCTGCGCTGCTCGGTCCCCCCTGGGGCCGTAGGCGACCCGACGAGGAGGGGGAGGAGGAGGAGGAGGAGGAGGAGGAGGGGGAGGAGGAGGAAGAGGAGAAGGAGGAGGAGGAAGAGGAGGAGGAGGACGGGTCGCCGAAGCCCTTCGAAGAAACCCTCCAGCGCAGGCGCTTAGGATTGAATACCGCGAGTTCTACTGGTAGGTTCGCGCCGCGTTGACGCGGCGGCGACCCCTGCGTAGGCGCTCGGGACTGAACTCCGCAAGTGGTCTGGAACAGGGCGATGTCGATTGATCTGCTGTATCGGAGAGCAGGGTCGCGCCGCGTTGACGCGGCGGCGATCCCTGCGAAGGCGCTCGGGGTTGAGCGCCGCGAGTGGTCTGGAACAGGCCGATGTCGATTGATCTGCGGTATCGGAGAGCCGCGATCGTTCAAGGCTGAACGATCCGCGCGGTGTCAGAAACCGACGCGCAAGTCGTCACGACACGAACCTTCCGCATTCAGGGGGTGCCCATGTCGAATCAGAGAAAGCCACGTGCAGAGCGCGCCAGGATCTGCGCCAGAGGCGGCACCAGGGGGTCAGCGCCGATCCAGGAAATCCGCGCGGACCTCCGAAAGTTTGTGCCCGTGTTGTGGCTTTCTTGTTCGGCTCGTCTACTCAGGGTTTGTCCATGGCGCTTTTCATTCACCCTCTCTGGACGCCTGGCCCGTCGTGTTCCCTCTCCCTCGACTCTGTCGCTGCATGCCTCCCGTGTCATGATCTTGCCGCGCCACGGGCCCCGGAGGTGCCCAGAGCTCTGAGGACTCGGGCGTTTCACAATGGGCGGGCGATGAACAGGGGGCGAGACTCGGGAGTTTCGTTATGGGTGGGCGATACAATTCGACTAGGGGATCGACTACATAATTGTTTTGCTCCGAATTTTTTTTTTCCGTCGGATCTACGAACAGTGCGTAGAAGGCTCCGTAGATCTCGGAGCATCCTGCGCATCTCTCGTATATCCAACGGGCAAAAATCTGGGGCAAATCAATTATGTAGTCGATCCCCTACTCGAGAAACGAGGGGCGATCGCGCGTCACAGGAAAGGGGGCCTCGAAGGGGCCCCTTGGGGGCCCCGACGGTGCACCGAGGGTGCATAGTCCTTCCCGCCCAGGCTCCAATCAAGCCGGGGCGTGAAGGACCGTGCCCCTTTGGGTGCGTTGCTTCATGCATGGGGGCGGCAAGAGGTGATGGCCCCCGGTGAAGCAACGCCTGATGGGGCCCTCCGTCCCCCTCCCTTGGGGACCCTCCGCCCCTCTCTGTGCTCGTGTCCTCGTCGTCGTCCTCCGGATTGGTGGGCCTGCGCAGGGCTACAGTGGGGACCCATGCCAAGAAACACCTTGCTTGCCTCCAGGGTGCCCTGGGTTTCCTTGGTTTCGATGGTTTTGCGACGGAAAGCGTGACGTTCCCACACCAAAAATCCATGGGCGTCCCGGGGTCTCAGGGTTGGGCTTCTTGTTGAAGGGTTCTTGTGGTCGAGTTCCTGGTGTAGTCTTGCGCAGGCGCCGGTTCGAGTACTTCTTGTCGTGGCCTGGAAACGCCACGGCGGCCGGGCGCGGCCAGCAGATTCATCTTCTGCCCCAGCTGCCGACGGCCCCGAGTGCCCCGAGGGTGGGACACCTCGGGGGCAACAAAAAAATGCGTTCGAGAGCGGCCTTTCGCCGTCTCGGTTTCTGCTTCCTCCCTGGGACTTGGGCGCTGCAATTTTCTCGCACGGGGCGTCGTCGCAGAGTTTCGGGGCCCTGATACTTTCACAGGCGCCCCGCCTCACTGGAAGCCTCCCCCCCCTCGCCCCGCCGCCATGTGGGCGCCGCCAGCTCCCTCCAGCCCCCAGCCCTTGCAGGAGAGCATCCGGCTGTCCATCGGCATTGAGGAGAAGCAGACCATCATGATCGGTGGGCTCGGGCGCATCGACCTGGTGGAGGGCGAGCGCAAGCAGTTCCCAAACCGCCGCCGTGCGGCGGGGGTGGGCCCTCGGATCCAGGCGGCAATTTTCTCAACGTTTTCGGCACCTGGAAGCCGTCCCCCAGACCCAGGACCTTCCAAGCGACCGAATGCTCAGGATTCAAAGCTGGCCCCTGGGCAAGAGTCGAGAACCCCCGGAGCCCACTCCACGAGCAAGTTGCGACTTCTCCGCAGCCATTTTGGCCCAACGCCACGGGCGGAGGGGGCAGGCCTCAGAAGGCGGCGGGGCTTCTCAGAAGCCCTCCGGCCTTCTGAGAAGCCGTCTCTGTTTTCGGAGGAGTCTCAGAGAGGCTCAGAGAGCTTTGCAGAAGGCGCGAGGGCTTCTGAGAAGCCCCGCCTTCTAAGGAGACCTGCCTCCTCTCAATTCTCTCCTGGGCTCGCCGCCGATCTTTGCACGGTCTCACGCTGCCCGCAATTCTTGCGCTGGTCGCGGAAGTGGCGCTGCCGAGGCCGGTTGCGCGGGTATCTAGGAGTGCACGCGGGCGTTTTTTTGGGCGGGCTGGGCAGGCAGCCACCTGGCGTCCTCGATCTCATGCTTGCGGTATTGGGATGCGTTTTTGGTGTACCTGGTTTGGTGGCAACGGTCCAGCCTGGTGACTAGACACCACGCAGGACACCCGACCAAACGGGCATTGTCTGGCGTGCTGCGGGGGCGGCGCCTTTGTTCTTTTTATAAGCTCATATCATCATCCCAGCCAAAGCCCTTATCATCCCCCCCCTCATCTTCGTCGAAAGAGTACGCGCGCGCGTTTTTCAACAATCAACAATTTGCCCCAATCCCGTACAAACAACGAGACAAAGTCCTCACGTGTGCGGCGTCTCGCGCGCATGACGAAATTGCTCAAACACTTCGGGTTTCGTACGGCTTTCAAAATTGATCTTCCCGAACATGGGGAGGCTTGTCCAAGAGGGGTTGTCTGGTGGGGGTGGCACGGTCCTTGCGCGGTTGTCCAATGGGTTGTCTGGGCCGCGTTGTCTGGCCAGCGCGTGCACATGCCATCATCATACATACCATCAAAAGCATGGCACGACCAGGGAAGCCCAGCTGGAAATGTCGCCTCTCTTTCCCAGTTCCACTGCTGTCCGTTCCTCGTCTCTCGTGTCCCCCTTCCGCTCCCGTTCGCATCCCCTCCTTTATCGCGCTTCCCCAAACAGCTGCGCTGACTGGGGTCCTGTTGTGGTAGAAGCTAGCTTTGGCCAAGGGGCCAGCGCTCAGAGGCATCCGCCAACATCGGGATTAGTCTTGCCAGTTTCGCCAGGGACGTCCGGGTTGTCCGGGTTGTCTAGGGGGTTGTCCGTGGATTTTGTTGGGTCATTTTTCCATTGGCCATCGTGATATCCATGGGCTTTGCAACATGTTTGTTCAAAAGTATGCGCGTTCGTGCGTTTTTGCACGAACGCTATAGTTTTTTGTATATCATCAGCTACGAGCACGTGGGCTTCTCGACTGCGCATGCCGAAATCATTCGAACACCCTTTCGCGCGTGCTTGGGGCACGACTCCCAGGCAACAAATGGGGCAAGGTCCACGCGCGTGCGTCGTCGCGCCGTGCCGGATTGTTTTCAATCGCAAGTAGTGGTCTCGTAAGGATTTGGATGTGAGGTCGAGGTTTCCAGTAACATAAAACCATCAGTGGTTGTACAATGAGAGATTTCCAAACATATGCGCGCTTGCGAATTCTTGCGAAACTTGTGAGGTGTTTCAACCTGTTTATCACATGCGACCAAGCTGGCCTCTTTCGCGCGCATGTCGGAATCATTTGAACGCCTTCGCGCGCTTGGGGGTTGCGATCCCTGGCGAACAATATCATGCGGGCAACTCGCTTCCAATGCCTTCATAACCGACTCGTGGACATCATCATCGTCATCGGCGTGATCAGCATCGGCGCTGTCATTGGCCTTGCCGTGGCCGTCGTCATCGTCGCCACCAGCATCGCTACCATTCTCATCGTGTCTGCCGTTGTCGGCGTCGCCAGGGGAACGCGTCCGCCCGTGGCACCGACTCGCATTGAAGTGCCCGCGCGCCCGCGCGCCTTGCGAGACGCGCCAGGAAGCTCCACCGCGGCCGCATCGGTCTCGCCAGACTAGCTGGCCGCGTTGCGCGCGAACCTGCGCGCTAGCGCGGCTGCAGCGGAGTGCCAGCCAGTGCCCAACAGACATCGCAATCGCCGCAGCATGGGTTGAGAAACCAGGTTGCGGGTGGGTGGGTGGGATGTCTATGAGTCCCTAATGGGGTCAAAGGGCTGTGGTTCTAACAGGATAGTAGGACCGACCCCCCCGAGGAGTTAACGGTCCCCCTTTTCGCGTTGCAGTTTACATTTGATTTTGTTCCGTCGTCCATCCTAATAATTTACACCTGATTCTGCCCCATGCTATCCCAGCTATACCGGCTTCCCCCTTTCATCATTTGGAAAAAATAGATACCCGCGCATTCGTCTATCACAAATCATCAGTTTCCATTTGTTTGCAAACAACGGGACGAAGCGCGCACGCGCGCGTCGGCGCGTGCGCATGACGGAATCTTTCAACAACCTTAGGTGTCGTGTGGATTTCAAAATTGAGTGTCCAAAACCATATAAAACACACGGTCTCGCAACAAGGATTTTCAAACCATGATTGGGCTCTTGCGAATTCTGACGAAAGCCATCGGGTTTTTCAGCATGTTAATCAGATGCTACCACACGGGCTTGTCGCGCGCGCATGTCGAAATCGCTCGAACGCTCTTGCGCGCGTGCTGTCGCAGGAATCCCTTGCACCAAATGGGACGAAGCGCGCGCGCGTCGGCGCGCGCATGCAGAAATCCTTCAAAAACCTTGGGTTTCGTAGGGGGTCAAAATCAAATTTCCCGAAAACATGTAGAGCACATGGTTTTGCAATACCAGTTTCAGAACATGCCTGCGCTCGCGCTCCTTCAAATTCTCTCGAAAACCATGGCTTTTCAGAATGTTCAAATCGGCCAGGCGGGCCTCTCCGCGCAGGATGCCGAGATCATTCGAACGCCCTTGCGCGCGCGCTGCGGGGGGGTGGGCACGGTCCGTGGCAAATACCATGCGGGCCACTCTCGCGCGTCGGTCGCGCGCGCTTGTCGAGTTCCCTCCAAGACCATCCCAAGCTTGCATCTTCGACGCGAGGGCGCCGTCATCGTCGCCGGTGTGATCAACATTGGCGCCGTCACTGGCACTGCCGTCGTCGTTGCCATCATCGTCACCAGCATCGCTATCATCATCATCATCATCATCATCATCATCATCATCATCATCATCATCATCATCATCATCATCATCATCATCATCATCATCATCATCATCTTCATCATCATCTTCATCATCATCATCATCATCATCGTCATCATCGTCATCATCATCATCATCGCCATCGCGTCTACCGTTTTGGACGTTGCCATGCTACCGAGCCCGCCCAAGTCGCCGACTCGCACTGAAGTGCCCGTTGGGAAGTGCCCAGCGGTCGGCGCCACCGCGGCCGCGTCGGTCGCGCCAAACTAGATGGCCGCTTCGCGCGCGAGCATGCGCGGGCTATCACGGCCGCAGAGATACACCAGCCAACGCCAAACACTCTTCGCAATCGCCGCCGCATGGGTTTTGCAGACCGAATTGCAGGTGGGTGGGTCGGATGATAACGCGAGCAGCGGAGTTGACAATTCGCTGCGGGCAGAAATTAGTTGCTCCCCGTAGGCTCCCCATTCCCATTTTCAAAGGCTAGCCGACTTTACCCCTCAGGTTATCGTTTCCCCGTGGGGCACTGCAGTCTGCATGCGTTTATGGTTCATCGCTCATGTTCTAAATGCTGTCATATCATCAGTGGGAGTACTGCTTTCGCCCCCCCCCTCGTCGTCCCTGTCACGTATTATCATTTGCGCGCGTTCATTTATCATTTGTTCAAGAAGCCCTTGCAACAAACGTTGCGAAACAGGCTACACGCGCGCGCTTTCGCGCGCAAGCTGGAATCCTTTATCATACGTTCGCTTTCGGTCGCACGGGTTTCAATATCGAGATTCTTCGCAAATCGTACCATGCTGGCCATGCGCGCGCGTCATGTCGAAACCCTTCCGGCACATTCATCAGCGACACATGGACATCATCACCGCCATCGGCGTTACCAGCGTCGGCGCCGCCATCGGCCCTGCTATCGTCATCGTCGCTGTCGCCACCATCGTCGCTACTATCAGTATCGTTGTCGCTGTTGTCGACGTCGTTATGATACCGCGATCGCCCGAACCACCGACCCTCATTGAAGTGCCCGCGCGCCAAAGCGGCTTTTGACACGCGTTGGGACGGTACCATCGGTAAACGCCATCGCGGGTGCATCGGATGTATCAACCACGTGGCCATTTTGCACGCGAGCTTGCGCGGTCCAGCGCGACCGTACAGATGCGATAACCATGGTTAAACAGTCATCGCGATCGTGGCGATATGGTTTTGCAAACCAAATTGCGGGTGGGGGGTGGGATGCTTGTGCGAGCAACGGGGTTGACAACTCAAGAGTTGGTAACAGCAAGTTGCTCCACATAAGATGCACTTCTTGATTTGCGCCGTATATCTTGCACCACACTGCTTGCGCCACGTACATGACATCACCAAATATGCTTAAAACCACTGGCATAGGTCCACGATGGTTCAATTTGTTTCATACTAATGGGAATCTAAGAACAACAATAACAAACGACATCAGTTCCGTTGAATCCCACTTCAGCCACACCAGGGGACAGTGTCAGACCTTTCAAACCCGTCATTTTCTTCCAATGACGGTAAAACGAGCCTTTGGACCCCAGGGCAGAAGTTTCGGACTCAACGGTCAATGGTGGGGCAGTCGTGACCCCCCAGGTTCGTTCAACCGTATGGGCATAGCCGGGGACGACGACTTGGGCGGGACCTAGGTGGGCGTCCTCCTTCGGGTCATCTTCATCATTTTCCTAAGCGTCACCAGTCTCTGCAGCTGTTAAGGGATATAATGGAATACGGTCCCAGAACTATTCGACGTGTACCAGGATGGGCATCCAGGGTAGAAGTGAAGCAAATGATCATACAAGTCAGCGGAGGGCAGCCGTGACCTTTCAGATGAGTTCGAGCGTGACAGTTGCGCACCAGAGTCGATCTCCTAGATGCCTTGCAGGGGCGTCTCAGAAGCAGTTTGAAACCTCTTGGGGTCTCTTGGGGGACTCTGGTCTTAGGGCCTTGCTGGGCCATCTTGGTGGCTTCTTGAGCCGTCCTGGGGCCTTCTTGGGTCATGCATCGGATTTTCGGGAGCCTATTAGGCCGTCTTGGGGTCCCCTGGGGCCGTCATGGACGGAGCGAAGACCAGAACAACGAATATGTTAAGCATGCGCGTCTCCTTCAGGGAATCGGGCGATGTTTGCCTCTCGGGGCCCTTTTCGGGGTTATCTTGGGGCCCTGTTGAGATATCTTGTGGGCCTAGTGGGCCGTTTCAAACGCTTAATGGAGTACCTGAAACCCCATCCAGGCCATCTTGAACCGCCTTGACGGCCGTCTGATCGCCCTCTGGGGTGATTTATGGGCCCCCGTGTGGCCCAAGCGCGAACTCGTTCCCAGGACCCCGAGGGGCTAAATTGGGTCACTGGGGGAGGGGGTGGGGGGGGGAAAGTTTTGGAAACGTGTGCTGCCCCAGGGCCCAGGGGTCCGTACGTCGGCCATATTACATACATCCCCTCTCCAGCTCGACTGGCCGCCGATCATGAACAATGAGGGCCTCCCAACATCACCCCTGCCAACACATTATCCTGGCGAGTGGCCCAACCATATACAGTTGTGAATACCGCAGGTGTGAATATCGTCTTCGGTGAAGCCCCCCCGGGGCGACAAACTGTGGGTCTCACTCGGGCTTTCGGTGGAGCTCCCGATGAGGCCACGAACCGTGTGAGGGGTGCGCCGTAAGGGGCGGGGTGACGCACGCGAACGTCGCCATTGGGGCCTTAGGTGAAGCTTCTCTATGGGGCCACGAAGCGACTGATGGATGCTGGGGAGGGGCGCATGCGAACGTCGCCACTGGGATTTTCGGTGGAACCCCCTATGAGGCCACGAAGCGTGTGATAGGTGCGCCGTAATGGGCGGGGGGGACGCGTCCGAACGTCGCCATTGGGGTCTTAGGTGGAGCTCTCCATGGGGGGGCCACGAACAGTGTGAGGGGTGCGCTGTTATGGGCGGGGGGGACGCATGCGAACGTCGCCAATGGGGCCTTGGGTGGAGCTCCCTATGAAGCCACGAACCGTGTGAGGGGTGCGCAGTAATGTGTGTGGGGGGGAACGCATGCGAACGTCGCCACTGGGACACTAGGGGGAGCCTCCTACAGGGCCACGAAGTATGTGATGGGTGCGCCGTAGTGAGCAGGGGGGCGCATGCGAAATTCGCCACTGGGGCCTCAGGTGGAGCTCCCCATGAAGCCACGGACCGTGTGAGGGGTGCGCCATATTGGGCTGGGGGATCGCATGCGAACGTCGACACTGGAACCTTATGTGGAGCTCCCTATGGGGCCACGAAACTGGCGAGAGGTGCGCCGTCATTGGCGGGGGGGACGCGTGCGGACGTCACCATGAGGCCTTAGGTGGGGCTCCCTATGGGGCCACGAAGCGTATGAGGGGCGCGCCACAATGGGAAGGGGGGGCGCATGCGATCGTCGCCACTCGGGCCTTAGGTGAAGCTCCCTATGGGGCCACGAAGCGTGTGAGGGGTGCGCCGCAATTGGTGGGGGGGACGCCTTACGTGGAGCTCCCCGTGGGGCCCCGAATCGTGTGAGGGGTGCGCTGTAAGGGGCTGGGGGGGCGGCGCATGCGAACGTCGCCACTGGGGCCGTAGGTGGAGCTCCCCAGGGGGCCACGAAACGTTTGAGGGGTTTGCTAAAATGGGCATGAGGGATTTTGCACCGAGCGCTCCAATGAGCTCAGAGGGGGGGGGGGGAGGCGGAGGAGGAGGGAGGTGAGCTACCCCTCCATGCGCCCCTCGCGCGCCCTCCTGTTGAAGGCCTTGGCGCGAGCGGAGGCACCTGGGAGGCGGCCTTGGCGGAGCTTGCGCAAGTTATCCGAGGAGGAGGAGGAGGAGGAGGAGGAGGAGGAGGAGGAGGAGGAGGAGGAGGAAAGAGGAGGACGTGGCGCGCTCGCTGTCTCTTCAAAGCGGGGACCCAACTCGAAGGATGGTGTGACAAAGTTGCGACGCTGGAGGATCGGGGGGGGAACTGGAGTGCACGTTGAGCGGTGGTGCGACAGCCTGCCAGTGCCCCCCAGATTTCATGGCGTCAGAAGGCGAGAACACCAGTCTTCTCACGACACGGGCCTCCGTGGGCCCCGTCCCGAGCCCCAGGGTCCCAAGGCCGCCGAAGAGCGACCCGCGACGGCAAGCTGGTCCTGGCCATGACGAGAGAGAGGATTGTCAGCGGCGCTGGTCTTCGGGGTGGCCGAGCGGGTGTGGGCAAGCGCCCGCTGATCCCACCGCCGTAAGGGCCGGCGCGTCTGGCGGCGCGCCCCTGCTGCGAGGTGAGGTCGTCAAGGGAGGGCGCCTGGCGTGTCAGCCCAGGCCACGCAGGCAGGCGAGGGCTGCCGCAGGCTAGCGCTGGTGCGATCGGCCGCATGGCGAAGGCGCACGTGGACAGCGCGAGGTGCTCCTCGTTTGCACGTGTCTGCCTGAACGTTTCGGCTCCCAGCTCAGGTGCAGGTTTTTTCTGCAGCATCAGTTTGCCCGAGTGCCCTCGTTGCTGCTGGGGCTCTGATAGTCATGGTCGGGATGGTCGGGCAGAAGTCCCCGAGGGCCTCGGGGCCGCGCAGGCGGCGTCCGCGGGGGATGACCACACCCGTGCGATCGCGGGGCCCTCACGGTCGGTGAGGTGCTGGGGTCTGTATGCGCATGCGCGGCCAAGGGTCCCCGAGGACACCAGGGCCTCCCAGGGCGGTCTCCGCAGGGGATCATCACACCTGTGCGATCGCCCCACCCCCTCCCCCTCGCCCCTCCCCTCGGCGAGGGCTGTCAGTAGGCCTCGTGGGTGAGGGCCGTCGATAGGCCTCATACATCTCACGGCTTCCATCAACGGGGCTGCGGGGGGGTCCGCCCCCCACCAGTCAACCTTCTATTCTGCCATCAATAGGCACTGGACGGGGCCGAGGATCCCCCTGCGGTTCCTCGGCCAGCGAAGACGGCCGCACGGGGGGGTGACCCGTACCCCCACCTCGCGGCGCACATGTGCCACCACCTCCAAGCAGAGGCGCCAGTTGCCACCCACCACTTCTGCCCTCCCTTCTGGCGTTGCGTAGTGGGGATTGCGATCAGTTGGGGGTGAAAACAGGTGCCCCTTTTGTACCCCAGAGGGCCTCTAGAGGGGCCCCCTGGGGCCCAAGGGGGGCGCGAAAGGTGCTCGTGACTTCGCCCCCCCCATTTTTCGCCCCCCCATCAAGCAGCGCCCCATCCCTCCTCCTCCTCCCCCTCCTCCTGCTGCTCCTCCTCCTCCTCCTCCTCCTCCTCCTCCTCCTCCTCCCCTTCCTCCTCCTCCCCCTCCTCCTCCTCCTCCTCCTCCTCCTCCTCCCCCTCCTCCTCCTCCTTCTCCTCCTCCTCCACCTCCTCCTCCTGCTTCTCCTGCTCCTGACTGGATCCGGCGTGCTTCAATTGATCTTCCGACGTGACATTGTGTCTGACAGAAGGTAGGGCAGAGAGTTCCGCCTCAGAAAAGAAGGAGGGCAGAAGTTCCCGCAAGAAAGCATGGCGGAGTCAGCGACGGCAAATTAGGGCGGACATCGACATCAAAGGAGCTTGATTAGCACAGTCGGGTTTGATTAGTAGTTCGACCCTTCCACATCAAGGATGCCCTTGTGTCCTGTGTTTCGCGACCCACGTCTTCTACATTCCTGCGTCTTGCGCCGAGAGGAGGGGGGGTACATCGATGACTGCAGGGCGCCAGACTCAAGCCGAGTCCGACCCGACCTCCCCCTCCTTGGGTTCCTGAGGGCTTGACGACTTTTCGCCAATCGACTTGTGGGAGCAAGCCGGATGAAGCATGGCAGATGCAGACAAACCCAGGTCAATCCAGGTAAGTCGAGGCAAATCTACGTGAGGCGTTCCAAAAAAGGCCTCGTCTTCGAGGATCGAAGGAGTTGCCACCTCTTCCTCGTTGGAAGGTCGGCGGAAGGCCGCAGAAGTAAAACGAGGGCGGCTCCGCCGGCGGAAGCTGGCGGAAGCAAACGTGTACATCCCAAGAGATGACAGCCTCTTTGGGTTCAGGGTTTCTGCAGGCCGCCGCGCAGATCCCGAGACTCCCAGGGAAATCTGCAGCAGCTCGTGGCCGCTCCAGCGCGAGCCGAGGGACGGAAGTTCGGACGGGGCTAGGACGAGAATAGATCCGTTCCAGAGCGTTCCGGAACGCTCTCAGAGCGTTCCGGAACGCTCTGAGAAGGCCGCGGCGCCCGAGACATCTTCCAGAGCCTCCAGATCTCAGAGATTCTCGATCGATCCTCACCCGAGTCGTCCTGGTTTCGTCTTGGAAATCGTTAAGCCCTTGACGACTCGGCCGCGCGGCGATGCCGCTGGCCGTGCTCCTGGCGGCGCTGGGGTTTGCCCTCGCCGCGCAGCGCGGGGGAAAGGACGCTCAGCCCGCCGCGCCGCCGCGAGGCCTGGCGGAGGGCGGCTGCGCGTGCCCCGAGGCTGCGGCGGCGGGTGGCCAAGTGATACCGATGATGATGATGCCGATGATGATGATGATGATGATGATGATGATGATGATGATGATGATGATGATGATGCCGATGATGATGATGCCGATGATGATGATGCCGATGATGATGTCGATGATGATGATGATGATGATGATGATGGTGGTGGTGGTGGTGGTAGTGATGATGATGATGATGACGATGAGGAGGCGGGTGGAGATGAGGATGAGGATGGTGATGAGGATGAGGGTGAGGATGAGGATGACGATAATGACGATGACGATGGTGATGAGTATTATGATGATGCTGATGATGACGATGATGATGCCAATGATGATGTTGATGATGACGATGATGATGATGATGCTGGTGAAGATGATTATGATGATGCTGGTGATGATGGTAACGATGTCAATGATGATGATGATGACGATGATGATGCTGATGATGATGATTATGTCGATGATGCCGATTATGATGATGGTGATGATAATGCTGATGATTATGATGGTGATGATGATGATCATGATGTTGATGCTGATGCCGATGATGATGCTGATGCCGATGATGATGATGATGATGATGATGATGACGATGATGATGCAGATGGTGAAGATGACGATTTTGAGGATCATGATGATAATGCTACTGATGATTATGATGCTCATTATACGTAATATCATCATGATTCTGATGATGCTGACGATGATGAGGATGATGCTGATGATGATGATTAGTATGACGATGATGACGATGGTTACGATGATGATGATGCTGATGATTGCGATTATGATTACGCCGATGATGATAGCGATGATGATGATGATGATGATGATGATGATGATGATGATGATGATGATGATGATGATGATGCCGATGATGATGATGATGATGATGATGATGATGATGACGATGATTAGTATCATGCTGATAATGGCGATGATTATGATGATTCTGATGATGATAACGATGACAATGATGATGATGATGATGATGATGATGATGATGATGATGATGATGGTGATGATGATAATGATGCTGATGATGGCGATGATGATGATGATGTCGATGATGATACTGATGACGGCGATGATGATGATGCTGACGATGATACTGATGCTGATGCTGATGCTGATGCTGATTCCGATGATGATGATGCTGATGATGATGATGATGATGATGATGATGATACTGCTGATGATGATGTTGCTGGTGGCGATGGCGATGATGATGATGATGATGATGATGATGATGATGATGCCGATGACGTGATTATGATAACGATGGTGATGATGCTAACGGTGACGATTATGCTGATGATGGCGGCGATTGTGATGCTGATGTCGATGCTGATGGTGATGCCACTGCTGATGCCGATGATGATGATGATCATCATGATGATGATGGTGATGATGAGGTTGATCCTGATGATGCTGATGCCGATGATGCTGATGCCGATGACGATGATGATACTGATGATGATGATAATCATGCTTATGATTATAGTAATGATAACGATGACGATGATGACGATGATGATGATGCTGATGCTGGCGATGATGATGATGATGCTGATGCCGATGATGATGACGATGATGATGATTGTGATAATGATGCTGATGAGGATGCTGATGCTGATGCTGATGCCGATGCACATGGTAATGGTGATGATGACGATGAGGAATCCGGTCATGATTGTGATGATGATGCCCATGATGATGACGATGATGACGACGGTGAAGATAATCATTACGACGACGATGTTGGTGATGATGATGCTCATGATGATGCTGATGCTGATGCTGATGCTCATGCCGAGGATGCTGATGATGATGACGATGGGGACGATACTGATGACGATGATGATTCTGATGATGGCGATGATGATGATGATGATGATGATGATGATGATGATTACGATGATGACGATTACAATGATCATGATGATGCCGATGATGATGATTTATGAGGATGATGATGCTGATTGTGACGATGATGGTGATGATGATCTCGATGGTTACGCTGCTAATGATGATGCTATTGCTGTTATATCGATGATGCTCATGATGATGCTAATGCTGATGCCGATGATGATGATGATGATGATTATTAATATTATTATTGCTATCATTATTATTACTATTATTCTTATTATCATCTTTTGTATCATGATGATTATGACGATGATGATGATGTTGATGATGATGACTATGATGATGATGATGCTGATGACGACGATGCTGCTGATGCTGATGATCCTGACCATGATGATGATCATGAGCGATAATGACGGTGATGATGGCGGTCTTGATGCTGATGATGACGGTGATGCCGATGGTCATGATGCTGATGATGTTGGTTTTGATGATGATGATGGTGATGATGACGATGGCGATGATCATGCTGATGATGCTGATGATGACTATGACGATGGCGATGATTAGGATGATGTTGATGATGATGCTGATGCTGACCATGGTGATGCTGACGCCGGTAACGATGATGCTGCTGGTGCTGCTGCTCATGAGGATGATGACGCTGGCGATGATGCTGATGCTGCTGCTTATGATTATTAGGATGGGGATGGCGACGACGATGACGAGACGATGATCACGATGATGACGATTCCAATGATGACGATGATGACGATGATGGTGATGCTGATGATGATGATGATGATGATGATGATGATGATGACGGTGATGACGAAAATGGGGATGGTGGTGATGATGGTGATGATGCTGATTATGAGGACGACGACGATGACGATGACGATGATGATGCTGATGATCGTGATAATGATGCTGCTAACCATGATGCTGCTGGTGCTGCTGCTGATGTGGGAGATGCTGACGCTGTTGTTGATGATGATGCTGCTGCTTCTGATTGTGATGATGGTGACGACGACGCTGATGATGATGACGATGATGATGATGACGATTTTGATTCTGCTTGTGATGACGAATGTGGTGATGATGGTGACAATGATGCTGATGATGATGATGACGATGACGATGACGATGACGATGCTGATGATGATGATGATACCGATGATCATGGCGATCATGATGCT